GGGGTGCATGCATCGACCCCCAATCGCCCATTGATCGCCGATAGGGGCTTGATAGCCCCCACCTGCCCACAGGGGTGCGGATTCACTATCGGAGGCCTATCGCCGATCTATCAACGATGTACCGCCGATTCCAGGTCGATGTGTCCCCCTCTTATGCCAGTTTCCCCTATCGTTGCTCATCATACCCCCCCCCGTCACGAGTTTGAAGGGGGGGGTCATTCCGTTCGGGAGCTCCCAGGCGGAGTTAGCCCCCACCCCCCCTCAGAAATCCTTGGGGGTGGGGGTAGGATTCACATGTGGCCACCTACACCCGCCTCCCTCCGCCCCCCACGCAGAGCCACGAAGTAGCCCAGGAGGCCACCGGCCTTGGCCTATGTATATCCGATCGGTCCGATTCGATGTCGATTCCGGCCAGCCCGATCGGAGTCGATTCCGATGTTCCGACGATGCGATGCGGCCCGATGCATCTTGGCGCAGCGGATCCGATTCGATTTCGATTCCGTACCAATGCAGCCCGATCCGGTGCATATGTCGAATCGGTCCGATTTGATTAACGATCTAGTGGTGACTGATCTTACCAGCGAGCAGGCAGCCGTGCAGGAATCATGACGGACGAATTTCGGAGTTTCTTGTTTCCGGGGGCCCTTGCTGGGCCTTGGGGCCGGCGAAACACCACTCGGGATGAAAAGCCAGCCTTGGGGAGGAGGCCTGGACCTCCAGAGGCCCACGCCGTGAGTCAAGGGTGGAGCAACCACCCCGACCCCGACAAATCGCGTTTACTAAACAGCCCTGGGCGATTACTAAACAGCCCAGCCCTGTTCGATTCCTTCTATGGGTGCGTTTACTCAACGGCTTCGCTTGTCGGGGTGCTCACTATAGGGGTGGATTTTCTGCTCCTTAGTGAGGAAGTCCCACCAGCCCTCAGGGCGTCGGTGGTTTAGGGAGTTTCCTCTTCCACCCCTCCTTCTTCCCCTTTGGGGAGGGGTTTACCCCTCCCCTTCCCCCCTCCCCGTGGACCTTGACAGGGGGTTTCGCGAGGTGTCGGAACTTCCAAAACGGCCTCGGCGAGGAAGCCAAACTCATTGGTTGTCTAAGGTTTTGGCCCCATTTTGGCCTCCTGAGGAGGGGACCCTAATTAGTGCCCCCCCCTCCTGTGATCGATCTTACCCAAGATGGCCCAAAGATGGCCCCCAAGGCCTCCAAGGATGCCCCAAGCGGGCCCCAAGAGGTGGCCAGGAAGCCGAAGCCCCAAGAGGCCCCCAGGATGCCCCCAAGAGGCTCCCAAGAGACCCCCAAGAGGCCCCAAGAGACACCCCAGAGGCACCCAAGATGCTCCAAGAGGCCTCGGCAAGAATGCCAAATCATTAATTCTACTAAGGTTTTAGCCACATGTTGGCCTCCTGGGGGGGCACTGATATTAAGATGACTCCAAGAGCGCCTGGGAGAGCCCAAGATGACCTCCAAGATGGCTCAAGATATCCCAAGATGTCTCATAACGGCTCCCACGATGCTCCAAGATGCCCCAAGACCGCTCCAAGACGGCTCCCAGTGGCCAAAGAGCTCCCCCAGGAGGTCCCGAAGAGGCCCAAACCTGGGGAAATTCTATGTGTTTGGCTTTCTCGCCTTTTCGCTTCCGATGGCCATCCGAGGCCTCAAGGTGACTCCAAGATGGCCCAAGAGGGCTCCAAGAAAGGCTCCAGAGAGCCCCAAGACGGCCCCAAGAGCGCCTAAGAGCGCCCCAAGAGCGCCCCAAGAGGCGATTGTTTGGGCTCCCGAGGGGTAGCGCTAACTACTGCTCGCTTCTTGTTTGATCGATGTCCCCCAAGATGACCCCAAGAGCGCTCCCAAGAGGGCCCCAAGAGGCGCCCAGGTGTCCCCAACAGGCGCCCAAGAGGCCTCCAAGATGCTCCCAAGAGACCCCCAAGAGGCCCCAATAAGCTCTCCGAGGCACAGAAGACGCTCCAAGAGGCCTCCACTGGGGGACCCTCCCTCTGTGTGCTGCCCACTTCCCTGACCTGACCGAGGCAATCCCTTTGGGCATCGTTTCTGGATGGGCTGGTGGGGTTACTTTCTTGTCGCAACCGCAGGCGAGCGCGCCAGCGGCGGGTGAGGTCCGAGCGGGCCGCTCAAGAGCCGAATTGCCTAACGCCGACGGGCCGGCGACCTCGGCAGCGACTCGGCGGGCGGGCCGGCGTGAAAGACAGCGCCCGGCGTCTCCTCTCCCCGCCTCGCCTCGCCTCTCGCCTCTCCTCTCCTCGCCTCCCCTCCTCCCCCTCCTCCCTCCTCCCTTCTCCCATCCCTGTCTCTGCCCTCCGCATGTAAGATACTTTGGCGCACCCCTCATACGTGTCGTGGCCACGTGGAGCTCCTCCGAAGGTCCTAGTGTCAGCGCCCGCATGGCACCGCCACTCCAATTTCAGAACACCCCTCACACGCTTCGTGGCCCCATAAGGAGCTCCACCGACGGCCCCAGTGGCAGCGCCAGCATCGCACCGCCGCAGCCAGTTCTGCACACCCCTCACACGCTTAATGGCGTGATGCGGCGCTCAACTGAAGGTCCCAGTGTCAGCGCCTGCATGGATGGCACCGCCGCGCCCGTCTCGGCACACTCCTCACACACGTCGTGGCTCCATGGGGAGCTCCACCGACGGCCCCAGCCAGTAGCAGCGCCCGTATGACTCCGCCGCGCACGTGTCGGCACACCACTCACACGTGTCGTGGCCCCGTAAGGAGCTCCCTTGAAGGCCCCAGCGGTAACGCCCGCATGGTACCGCCGCACCCATGTCGGCACACCCCTCACACGCTTCGTGATCCCATCGGGAGTTCCACCGAAGACGATGTGCACAACCTCGGCATCCACAGTTGCATGTGGTTGGACCCTCCACCTGGATAGTGTCAATCCTCTGCCGCAGAAGCCCTCATCGTTTCCCCAGGGGTAGCTTTCACCCTGGATCCGTTTTTGATTGGCCCATGGCCTGGAGGCCCAAATCGAGAAATGACGCCGCCGGACTGAAACAAAACATATCGTCGGAGATCTGGACTGCTAGTGCGGCGATACATCGGCGACGTTGGCGATGCATTGGCGCCGTCGGCGCGGAGGAAATCGGGCTCCACATCGAGCTGTATCTGCGATGCATCGGCGAAGCGGCGCGATCCTCCAACCCCGTCCAGTCAGACCGCATCTGGGAGGCTTCCGGAGGCGGAAGGTTCGAGGAGGAGAGCCCAGACCTCCAACAAAGTGACAAACATGAAGGCCGAGGTGTCTCTTCGTTTTAGGCCTCCGGGGAGCCTTCGCCGGGCCCCGGGAGCATCGAAAGGAGCCTCGGCACGAGACGCCGATCCCAGGGACGTGTTCCAGCGTTCCCGGGACCCCGTATTTCAGGAGGGGAAGAAACACACAGACACAATTAATCGTCGATCCCCAGGAAAATATGGGAAAATATGGGAAGTGGTGGGGAAGACAAAAACTCAGAAAATATGAGAACATATGGGGGATCTTTTTATTTGTGTGCATTTATTTGTGTGTTTGTGGGCCCCTTCAGTATTGAACACTTTGAGACGTCGGAGTCCTGGGAACTTGTCCGCGGCGACGTCGGGGCCCCCCCACCATCCGGAGGGCGGCGCCCCGAACATCGTCAGAAGAGCTCCCCCTCCTCTCCCTCCTCCCCCTCCTCCACGTCCTCCTCCTGCTCCTCCTCCTCCTCCTCCTCCTCTCCTCCTCCTCCTCCCCCTCCCTCCTCCTCCTCCTCCTCCTCCTCCTCCTCCTCCTCCTCCCCCTCCCTCTCTCCTCCTCCTCATCTTCCTCCTCCTGCTCCTCCTCCTCCTCCTCCTCCTCCTCCTTCTCCTCCTCCTCCTCCTCCTCCTCCTCTTCCTCTTCCTCCTCCTCCTCCTCCTTTTCCTCCTCCTCCTCCTTCCCCTCCTCCTTCTCCCCCTCCCCCTCCTCCTCCGCCTTGCCCCCCCAGGCCCATCCTCGGATCCGTACTGGCGCGCATCGTCATCGTGATCGTGTCCCTGGGCCTCGTCGGCGTCGGCGTATAGTGGGAGGGGGGGTCGCCGCCCCGCCGCGCGGCGCACAGCTGCCAGGGGACGCTGGCTGCACGGGGCGAGGAGGAGGAGGAGGAGGAGGAGGAGGAGGAGGAGCAGCCAGGAGGAGGAGGAGGAGGAGGAGGAGGAGGAGAAGGAGGAGGGGGCGAGGAGGAAACGTTGGTGAGGGGGAGGTGGACGAGGAGGAGCTGGGGAGGACTGGGCCTAGGGGAACAAACAATGGCATGATCATACAAGCTCGGAGGTCCGCGCAGATTCCTCAGACCAGCGCTGGGGCCCCCTGGCGCCGCCCCTGGCGCGCTCCGCGGTCCATGGAGGGGGGGTCCAGCGCCGATCCGAGACCTCCGCGCGGACCTCCGCGTTTTTTTATGTTTTTTGTCATTGCCTGTGTCCCTGAGCAGGCGGAGGGTGAGGAGGAGAAGGACGAGGAGGAGGAGGAGGAGGAGGAGGAGGAGGAG